GTGACATTTCTTCGTTCACGTCAATAATCCTATAGTGACTAAGCAAGGTGCAAAGCGATGCAATAACCACTGATGCGCATGTATGCACCGCGCCAAAGTAGCTCTATATATATGTGTAATAAATCCTTGAGCGCAGTCTAGACTTTGCCTTTGATTCTTTGGAGGTCAAACAGCCCTAGGCACAGAATGCGAACAAAGCTTAGTTGTTGCAAAGACTTCACTACTCAAAGTTCTTTCTCACTTGGCTTTTGCTTTCCTCGGTTAAGTCGTGAACGATGAGTTAGCAGTTTGGTACTGGTTCAATCAGAAGTACATTGGGTAGCCCACTATTCTCCAGAGGTCTAGTCAAACTGTCAGATAAGATAATGGAATTATACAAGTATGTGAAGCCTCAGCCGATAAATCCTCATTTAGCTAACAGCATCCAAGTTCCGAAGGAGACTGTTTAAATCACAGGCTCACATTATCAAGTAGTTAATTGCTATCAGTGGAAAAACTGGGCCCCTTAATTGTTATCATAGGGATTATCTGGTGTCCAAAGTGCTACCAAATGCAGAAGTGTCCGCGAGAAAATGGATTTGCATTCGAAAGACCTTACCGAATTGTCACTTTGCATGGCAACAATAACAATGCTTGGAGTCTGTGTGGGTCAGCAAGTTGTTTCCACTTGCTCTGGCCGGGATCGCTATCAACTTGGCTGCGGGGATAATTAAATTGTGGATTTCTCAATGCTGCGTGACGCTATCCTCTCGATGAGAGAGAGAAACCCACTGCAATCATTTCACACTAACACAGAAGGAAGTTAACATAATTTGAGAACGGATTTCTTCCGCGTGGGTGCTTATTCCGGGTTCTGTGCTAGTCTTCCGGTTCCTCGATGCAAAAATACTTTCCACAAATGCATGAAGAATGATGGTGGTAGATAACAAGAAAACGAGAGGATCAATGCGAAAATTGCGGAATACATGTGTTTATTCATAATTATGCAGCAGCGGCTGTTTACATATGAGGACAGTGAACAGAAATGTGACTTTTCATTGTTTGTAACGTTTAGCTTTTTGTCCACGGCAACCGTTGTGTAGTTTAAGAAAGCAAGCTGACTTGTTGTACAGGATACTTTTTGTAAAAAATACGGTTCCGTTTCTTGATGTTTCTTTTGTTCGAAGAAACAAGTAATCCATAGTTGACCATTCGTTCCATTATTCTAGGCGTGTATTTGATTGGACGAAAATTTTAGACTATATGAACGGGTCCAGTTTCGTGCTGCGGAATAACATCAAGAGTATTCCAATGAGTCAGCTAAACCCCCATTGTCTGTTAGCATAAAAGGGCTAAGAAGTAGGGCGGTACGACTCTCCTTGCAGACCATTATGTTCAGGCAATGCGAGTTTTGAGTTGTGTGTGCTGGAGGAAATCCATGCTTTAATTTACGCTTCTCCGTAGGCGCTGTGTTGACATCTGGTAGTGAATTAACGTAACCGCCTCTGATGCTCTGTGTGCCTGATCAATGAGCAATAGCGTCTTTCGAAAGCTAAGTTGTGCTGTTAGAAGTTGGAACTCACTAACACGAACAGTTACAATGGACCTCCTTGGACAAGTGTCTATAATACCCTGCGGGCCCGAGCGTAAGTGCGGTGATCAACTTGCAGACGCAGATTCTGGTTCTATCTAAACTCAGGATGGGGGCTAAGAGTTGACCGAGCATTCGATCCCCACCTGACATGCAAAAAATTTCAATGAATCATTTTTTGCATTGTCATTAATCTACAGGGATGTGCGGTTAGTGAAAAAATGATTTGTTACGTCGTTGTAACTACTCGTTTTCGCAGCAAATTTCCTAACTTCTACAGATTTCGGAGAGAAAAGTGATGAGGTAATTTTAAGATACTCATACTAGATGGGTTTTCGGGCAGTATAAACACACCGAGGCACACTTGAATATATTTCGTAAACAAACTATGCGGTTCCAACAAGAAGATAAATGCAGTCAGCAATGTGGGGCATCCCGCCTCGTAGTAGACAGTGTTTTGTCTAAAAATCATGAGAACGTTAGATGAACGGCAGAAAAGACAGGTGAAATAAAATACGCAGTACTTACTGAGGATTGCTGGCGGGACGGCACTGAGTGTCACGTTTCTACTGATGCGCCAGCTCCGTTGAAGAAAAGCTTTCCAGACAGCATTTACCTTGTGACTCCTTTTCTCCCTGAATCCTACAGGTTGCCATGAAATGCTGTCAATTACCACCTATGGACTAGTACATAACAGACCATGGTTCTCAAGTGTCTACAGAATTCTTTCGGATAATTCATTTGCCGTCCTATTTTTTTCACTCGTAACCGCTGTTAAGGTTGTGGATATACGGATAATACTTATATCCGTGGACAAATGATGATCGCAACAATTTATTTGGGTTATTTACTGTTCCACAGTGATTTGTGTGTCATGGCTAACTGAACTATAGATGCCATCGTACTGAGATTTACCTCACCACTTTTGAGAAAAGTTAATCCCCAGTGAGCTTCTTTGTGCATCAGAAAGATTGACAGTTCCGTTAAGGCACACATAACAGAATAACCCAAAGTTGTCCAGTTTCCTCGTAAACAAACGGATAGAATGATTTGCTTGAATAGTTGGGTGTAGTATGGAAGAAAATTGTCACGCTATCGGCGTCAAAATTCTAATAGTGTCACACAGTGTTCCCAGAATAATTAACATCTGGTATCTGGCGGAGACTTCAAGACGCTCCACATCTATCTTGGGATGAGGTGACCTGCAGTTGCGTGGTTCTTACTGCATGTCGCAGGCAGAAAATCCAAACAGCAAGGATTAATTGGTTCCACCGCAGAGTTCGGTATTCTTTTGGTTATAATGTGAGGATGATCCGTATTCAATTCTGCGGGGAGGTATGCACCAAACTGTAGTAAGTTTTATTTACTGCAGTGCATCCCAAATTGTGTTAGCTCAAAAGACGTAGTTGTCGTTACGATTCGCCTTGTGAAATGTGCAGGAGCACTTTGCTTATTCATGCTCTTCGTTGATGGTGAAACTTAAGGTTAACAAGCAGGTGTCAACTGGAAAAGATTCAAAAGAAGGAACTAAACACATGTACCAAGTTAAATGTTTAGTAGAATCAAATACACCCCTGATCATGGAAGACCTGGAGGGTAAAGTTAACACCACGGCCCATGAGAATTGGAAACTCAATTTGGTTACTGGCGAAGCATCTCCATACTCTACAATATAGTCGTTTAGATATATTGGATTTTCTACAATCATCTCTCACCAACTTGATATGATAAGCATATCAAATTGGCCATAAGTGTCACGTCATCCATTGGATCGTAATAATGATCGTATCAACTTATTACTTGGTAAAACGTTAACTTTTCATCAAAAGGTACAAGCCGTGAGTAAAGTACTACACAAGCGGTCTAGGTCAATCAGAAATTTCAGAAATTGCTTTCACCCAATTTAGCGTCTTCTGTCCGTTCGCAGTCGTCACAGCTTCAACCACGACAAGATAACAAGTGTTTAAATAGCATAGGTTAAAACATGTCTAAGAGGGGCATCAAATGTAGTTAGCTGCATATTCGTTCCTACTCCCTGTATCAGCCTTTACGATCAGCTAGCAAACGGTGCCACGTTTAAGTGAAACGCAAAATGCTTCTTCAATAGGGAGGAAGATTGGCTGTTAGTAACATTTATTCCAAACAATCCACTATAAACAGGTAGCGGAACGCACTCGTGAAGTATAAAGCGGTTTGTACAATGACGTCTTTCAATTCCTACATGTGCCTAACCCTCCTTCACATATAACTTCATACCGGTTTAATAGTACTGAGTTATTCGGCAGATCAGATTGAAGGACGCCATAATTTACGTTCATGTTTTCTGGATTTCTTCACGTACAGGCAGCATTTATTCAGTTGGAATCTTAAGACTTAAAAATTGGTGCATATTTTCCGGGTTGCCAGAAAAGAGCAAATTTAAACGTAAACTAGCCACTGTCATAAGTCGTTGGTCCTAGCTTCCAAAGTTGGGCAATATGCGATGGGTCGCTTTGTTACATACCTGACTGACTTGGATCTTGCACGCTCACCTAAAATTCCTTTTACCTGTACATCATGCAAGAGTTGATTCCATAGTATGGAACAAGGTATCACAAAATCACGCCAATGAATATCTTTATAATGTCACTCCAGAGGCAGTGCATATTTCGTCTACCCAATTGAGCATGTCAACTTGCACCTGGCGAGCTAACATTAAAAATACCTGGTGCCCTGTAACATGAATCACATATACCCCCGCCTGCTGAAATAATCCCGACACAAGTGTGTGTGGTCACCAGTAGAAGGTAGCGGAGGAATCGAATCACCGCTTTTTTATCGTCATGACCCATTCCTTTTAGGTGTCAGATGAGCCTTCAAAGTTCCTTCGCCCAAAAGGGTATATGCTCCAATTCTATATGGTATGGGTCCAACAGTATTATCACATGCAAACCGTACCTGCAGTGACCCAAGACGAGGAACTCTGTGCACTTCCTAGTCATCCACCGTATCGGTAGTGGTAGAACAAATGGCTTACGTTCCTGCTGTGTGCATCTATTACAGACACACCGTTCGATGCTTACCTTTTGATTCCAGCTTACACCGCCATTGTTAAGCGAACAGGAATATCAATGAGATACAAGAAACACTCCTTTCTTTATCGTAGTAAACCATTGGTCCAGTGTTTAATCACGGGTAGTAGATTATGCAATTATAGGTTAACAAAGGAATATCAAGTTACAAATAATCAGAGTACGGTATCATCGCGTTAAACCGCTAAAAATAAATCTTATGTAGTGCAGAGGGCAGGGTGGCTGAAATTCATGATTGCGAAAGCAACCGAAACGCTATCAACTACTATACCTCAAACTCGAGGGGACTGTTATTGACAGTAAAGACAAGAACCGATAAGAACTGTGTAAACCTTTTAAAAAAATACTTCACAGCTTACCCCTTAAAGTTGTTGATTTTCTCCTGAACCTTCTCCTTTACGGGTACCGCAACAATGTGGCTTCGAAGAGCCCCGAGGATGGGCATAGTATCATTCAACGAATGTGACTATACCAAAGAATTCACCTAGTAACATACTAATCCGTCAACTTCCACTATGAATACAAGTTTTTAGGCTTAATGTGCATGAATTTGTGATCACAGAGCCTATATTACTCCGAACTGGCAGAGATAAATGTGCTCTATTGGAGTGGCATGGGTCGTTAGCCTACCGCCTCCTCATCTTTAAGTTCATTACTCATGCTGGCATTGGTGGGTTAGGCGAACCAATTAAAAAATATCCCAGACGATCCAGTGCTCACACTGACTTTCCGGATGGGTTTCTATCGGCTCATCGCCCCTTACCTGATCCAACACTGCTCCTAGAGTGAAGAAAGATGGGCATCCGTTTATCTCTAAGTGGGTGTATGTTGCCATCAGACGGACCTTTTGTCCTGCTTGGTGGTGTGTTTGTGTGCACTTTACAATTCATTCCAAAATAGGTTGAGTTGTTGCAAGGGGATAAGGAACCACGTTACGGACCACGTTAACCACTCACTCTAAGTCACCTACGTGTCACTCTAAACGTCTCGATGAGTTTCCTACACGCATAAGATAGACTTGGCAATCATCCGGTATACGCTTCCTGGTCATTCTTTAGTGCCAATCTACTCTCCGGTTTCACTCCGAACTATCTTAACAGAAACTGCATCACCCACAATGTGGACACCTGAACATGTGCGAGATGTATAAACATCACGCGATGATGCCCGTCAATGACACATTTGGTACAACTGCTTGTCAATAATCAGTCGTTATTTGGTACAGTCTCACGTATTGCATATCCTGTCCGCTAGCTGAGCACGTCCGAAACGCCTCCTTTGAATCAAATTGATACACCGGTAGAATGCACATTAAAAGTGCAAGTAAACATTTATAGAAATAACAACATGTATGCCGATGGTCCACGGGATTAAGACTACCTAGTAGTTATCGGTATGAAAGAAGTGTGCCCATAAGGAAGTAAGAATTTAAACTAAAGAAGAAATTTCTTTTCGATACTTCTCTTCAGGCTAATACATGTATACCAGTGGTTACAATTGTGACAGGCTAAGATAGCTGGGCTAGGGTCACCGCCTGTGATTGAATTCAGCGGCGCTCACGGTGAGATCAGGGCCAGGGGAAAATGTAGCGTTTGTACTAGCGCCCTCTGTTTGCACAGTTCTGGTTGCATTAGCCGGATCACAATGGCGTCTGCCACCATCAGCAGATGTTTTTTTTATTCCTTTTGGCTAGCGCCTTGGTGCGGCGTAGACAACCTTAAATGCCTCCAAGTTAACAACTTGATGCCCGCTCTGGATCAAGTGTTCCAATATAGAGCTGTTGATATGTTCAACTGTTGCTTATATAATGCTGCTTGACCTTGTTCTGCAACAGGAACTATGCAAACAGATGACGCTAGTACATACGCTACTTTTGCCCTGGCCCTGATCTCACCGTGAGGGCCGCTGAATTCAATCACAGACGGTGACCCGTGACCCTATGTATGTGATTTTATTCATCGATTGGTGAAAGTGATCAACAGATAAAGTAGCCTGTTTAGACTGAATAAACCCTGGTCCAGTTATCTTAGGCTGTCACAATCTTAGCCACTTGTATACATGTATTAGCCAGAAGGGAAGTATCGAAAAGAAATTTCCTCGCTGATTTGACTAAAAGGAATGAATTTGCTAAACTAACCGCGGTTACTTAAAGAAAGGAGAATACTAGTGGACGAATGGCCCACTATGCGCAACCATTTTCCCAATTAGCATGAGGAGAATATCGTAGGAATCGATATACTATCCGGTCTCTCCATAATCAATAGCAATTTTTCCAATAATATCCCCGTTTCTAGAAGTTTCTCGAAGTTTCTTTAATAGTAAAGAGTGTTCGCACCTAACTGGCCACATCTCTGATCCATACAGAAGGACCGGCCTTAGCGCAGTATTATACACCCAACATTTCACTGACAAGAAGATATCCCGCTATCCTTATTGATGGTTTTGTCTCCGGAAAGTCACCTTGGGGCCTTGCTGATACGCGAAGTAACTTCCTCAGTGATGTAACCATTAGTGGTGACACAGCTACCAAGTTGATTGAATCGATCCACCACGTCCAGTGGTTGTTCGGTGATAGCTAGAACCAGAGGTGAGTCGGCCCAGTCCTGCAACTGTATTTTTTAGAGGTGTAAAATACATGCCGAAGCGTGCAGCGCTACGAGTCAGTCTATCCGGTAGTGTTTGCATAGCCACTGAGTCAGACACAAAGGGAGCTATGTCGTCCGCGTACCCATGGTTTTCAGTCGGTCACCTGATACAAGTCCAAGTCTGGTAACGTTTGAAAGAACTGGGTCACTCATGACCATTTCCATCACAAACTTGATGAGGAAAGGAGATATAGGATAACCCTGACGAACCTCACTTGGCGTGGGGAACTCAGCAGACTGCTTCCCGTAGACTCGTACACGGTCTCGGGAACCACAATGGAGAGACTGTACAATGGAAAGGAATTTGACGGGTACGCACTTCATGATTAGGCAGTGCCACAAGCTTACGCGTTTAACAGAGGTGATGACGGCTTTAAGATCAGGGTAAATTAACCTAGTCAGCCATCTGCATGTATGTATGTGCTCTAAAACGGCGTACAGTACGTATGTCGTCGATACAATATGGTTTTCAATGACTGCGTACTCAAGGGAACCAGTAAGTCGTTGGAGGATGATATCCGTGAGAAGTTTGGATGCAACATAAACAAGGCTAATGCCTTGAGAATTTTGGCACAAAGTACGCCGACCCTTCTTGAAGATGGGTGCGACATTTGACAGTCGCCCGTCTGAAAGCATGTCTTCAGTGTTTCAAATCGTGTTAAATAGGGAACCAAGTCAATGAACAATGAACAATGATTTATCACGGGTAAAACACATGTGCTTGACAATTCCCGTAGGATGGTTGGAGTAAAATTTAAAATATGAAGGATCAAATAAGTAAATCGTTATTTCAAGCGTCCAACAAGTTAAATGCTCTAATGCATAACGATAGTTTTAAGTGCGAATGAGATGTGTACACGCAAAATAATACAGGGAGCTGTTATAGTTAAGTAATTGCATAATAAATAAAAAAGGAAACGACAACGCTCACTCGTTTTTCCCTTCATTTCACAGATGTGATAGGTTAATCGAATTTAGCTACATCCAGGCCAATCACATGGACACTCCTGCATGTACACTCAATGCCACGTTACGGAGAGCGCCGTTAAGCACATGCTTAGGTTTGCGTTATTTCGTCCTCCAAGTGGAATGGACTATATCAAGTAATGCAAGTTGCAAAGCCTTTCATCAAGGCGTTTTTGAATAGCGTTAATGTAGGAGCAAGGATAACGTGAGTCTGAAGGGCATTCCAGGCACGGGACACACGGATGGAGAAAACGTTTCGTCAACAATCGAGCCGACTGTAGTGCGTAGTCAGTTTGAGCTGATGGCCTCTCAGATTGCCATTTCGGCTCAGCTGCAACAGATTGGACATGCGTGAGTTGGGTTCCTCAATATTAAGTAAACCACGAGTAGGTCTCCATGCTGACGTCGATATTCACCACTGTACAATCTCAGGGACTGCAGTCTGTGTTGGCAGGAGAGATGAAACAATCTTCAAACGAGTTTGGTCGCTCTACGTAGTGGAGCTTCCAGCGCATCAACGTCGCGCCTGCGCCAGGGACCTCAGGCCTGGATCGCAAAGTCCGTTTGAGGCCTCACGTAGGTTCTCAGCATTTGCGGAAAGGTTGATGGCTCAGAATTCCCGAAAGCCCTCCATAAGAGTCCAAGATGTTGACTGGCTCTTTTTGATGCCTTTTCAGCCTGTCTCGCGCACCCCGAGGTCGTTTTCTTGGGAAGCACGTTGCAACTGCTGGTCCCCAAGTCGATATTCCTAGATTAGCTGATGGCGTATGAAGCCGGTTAGCCGATGACCACGCATAAGCCCTGTCAAGATCGCTCTGCAATGCCATGTGAACATCCGATGTCCTGAATTCATGCCAAATTTTGAGTTCATCAGAAAATAGTAAGAAATTCGACTACAGTACACTGGCAAGATCGTTAATGAATGTTAGGAAGAAATGTCGCCCCAGTACCAATCCTTGGGGCACGCCACAATGGAGGTCAATTAGGTCGGAAATGGAGCTACGGACTCTCACATTCAGCTGACGTTGAACGAGGAAGTTGTTTATCTAACCGAGTATAGGGTCACCAAATTCATCGCTTCGAAGCTTGAGCAGGAGAATGTAGTGGTCCAAACGATCGAACGCCTTCGAGAAGTCCAAGACAACGTCGACTCCCACTCTTGCATCGGATGACTCTGTCCAGCTTGCTCGTCCTGGCAGCAAGTTTGTAGTTTAGGATCGAGTTCGGCGGAATCCGTGTTTCTGTGATACTGGGATGTTGTTGCTATCAAGATATCCCATGAGTACCACTGCAATTATACATTCCATTACTCTAGCTAAAACTGGGAGACGTAATTGGACGGTAGTGCGAGGGCTCCGAACAATTGCCTCATTCATAAACAGGAGTAGCTAGTCCATGTTTCCGCAATGTGGGAACCTGCAATTCGTCAAAACAATGTTGCAAGCATTGATCTAATGTTCTGTAAAGTTCATGGCTGCAGTCTTCAATATCTTCGCTTTGATGTCGTCCACGCCAGGTAAACTGTGCACGCGCAATGTAATTAGCGTTTTCAGCACATTGACTGCCATGAAAAATACGGGGTTAAAACACGGTGGAGATGAAATCTGTGTCAAAAGCGGATGAAATGATGCTTCACTCCGGAAAGTATAGATGAAGTGTTGACCAAACACGTTGGCTGCATCTTGTTCGGTTTGCGCAACATCATCTGTGGCACGTAAACCGGGATGCCCAGCTGCACTCTGCGGAGCTTGTTGACGTGTTTGTACAGCAACTTGGTATTATTTTTACCGAATTTTGACGCAAACTTCTGTTGATGCTGCAGTTTGTCTTCGCAGATCAACTTGACGCAGTGGTTTCGTTGAGTTGTGTAAGCACCCCAGATCTGATTACTTGGACAGGCATTGTAAGCGCGCCAGGCTGAATCCCTTAAGGCCATGCATTTTCCAGTACGGCTCCTCAGGAACAAC